GCTATAGCGATTCGCAAAACAATCATTCCTATGGGGGAATTCTGCTGGACGTCCATTAAGCCAGTGGTTCGCGGACCGTTTAGTCGCAGGACGATTTTTTCCGACGATTGTCGCCTTCCTGAAATGGCTGCCCTATGTTTTCCGGGTCCATGCTTCTCAGGGCAGCTATTTTAACAGCTGATTAGCGCTCGCAAAATAGCTGAGTAGGACCCAACAATGGGATGTGGCTACAAAAGTAGCAAACAGTATTTTTAAAAAGATAACGGTTCCCCTTGACATTTAGCTCAGTTGTGTCCGACTCTAGGGCATGGTGCTCATTCCTGTTTCCAAGCCGTAGAGCCAGAATTTGTCCATAGACAGTTGCCATGGTCACGTAGCCAGCACAACTAGACATGGAACACAGTTACCTTCCCACCGTGGTGTACCTATTTATCTACTAACATTTTTACAGGCTTTTGAACTGCTAGGTTGGCAGGAAAAACACTACAGTGGTGCCTCGCTAGACAGTTACTCCGCTTGACCGTTTTTTCGCTAGATATTGACTTTTTGCGATCGCTATAGCAATTCGCAAAACAGTGATCCCTATTGGGGAATTTCGCTGAGCAATGTTTGGTTCCTGCTTCGCAAACCGATTTTTGCTAGACGACAATTTGCTCTTCGCTAGACAATGATTTTGCTTGGCAGCGATTTCAGTGCAACGGATTATCATCGTGTAAAAAGGAACCACTGTATTTTAGGCATTAAAAGTTTATTCTCCAAATCCTACAAGGTCCTAGTTCCTCTCTATTCAGCGTTGGTTAGGCCTCCTCTTGAGTTCTGTATTTATTTCTGAATACCAGATTTCAAGAAAGGTACTGACAGATTGGACCAAGTTCAGAGGAGGGCAACCAGGATGATCAGAGGGCTGGAAACCAAGCCGTGGAAGGAAAGATGGAAAGAACTGGGCATGTTTAGCATTGAGAAAAGAAGGGTGAGGGGACATATGATCACGCTCTTCAAAGACTTGAAAGGCTCTCCTACAAAAAAGGGGTGCAAAAGGGATGCAAAAATGGGCTGAACTGTACAGAAAGCCAGATTTAGACGGAATCAGGTGAAACTTAACTGTTGACAGTGGAATGACCATGGGATCAATTACTTCATTGGACAGAGGGTTGGACTAGATGGCTTTACAGGCCCCATCCAACTTCACTATTCAATTCTGTACCTCAAGAGGTGGTGAACCAGCCCTGGAGCCTTTCAAAAGAAATTTAGACAACCACCTGGCAGATATCCTTTGATGTGTTT